TACCCAGTAAGTTATTAATAACACTATTATCTACTTTCCTAATTTCTCAGGATAACAGATAACATACTGGCTATGGCTCGACCCTCAACAGAATTAATTGAAAAGTACAGCATTATTGAACAGTTTGAAAGGTAACAAATTTAAGTTATTATTTTTGTAGGTATAACTGGTGTGATTCCTGATCCAGTTTCTCTTTCAACATAGCATTGGATTATTAAGAAAAATATTTTCATTTTAACGATATACAGCTAGAGATTTAGTCTCCACTAAGAAGAAATGTGTTTCAGAAAATAAGGAATCACAAGAATTTGTCTGCATATAATACTTTGACTCATCTGTTCTTCCCTTAAGATCTGGCATAAAAACCATAATTAACCTCCAGCGTCCTGGGGAGCACGCGAGCTGTGGGAATCCACTGGAACAGGAAAGTGGCTTCACCTACCTTCCTGAAGCTTTCATGGAGGCTGGAAGTAAGTTCACTCCTGCTGCTCTTCCTCATTAATTTTGGCACTTAAAGATATTTTTACTTGGATTCTAGCATGTTAAAAACAGCTGTATAAGAAACATTGCACAAAGTGGGATGGAAACATGAAACTTTGCAAATCTAATCAAGAGGGAATAATGCATTATCCAAGATTGTATGTATGTAGAATGAGGTGGAAGGTTTATATTTAGAATAAAGAAGGACAAGAGCTGGTTAATTTGTTCTTTTTCTTCTGAGTTACTAAGCATAGAAAACATTAATGGTGTTTCAAATTCTGGTACAATTCATGCTTTCTTTTCTAGACTATAAAAGGTTATTTTATTTGAGGACATTTGTATCAACAGTATTTTTGTTATTTTCATGTTCTGGTGTGTTGCGAGTCGATCCCAGGGGGCTCCCGGCTGTCAGGTGCTTCTGCGACTTCCCCCCCCCGCCGATGTGGAGGGGTTTTTTAATAAGCCCGAGGGTCACACGTGGTGCTGCCTCTCACAGGCTGCGGGACCTTATTTTAGAGTGGAAGTTAGAATGCATCCCCACCACGCTCAGAAATTGCTACTGAGACTAATGTTTACTACACGAATTAATTGATTTATTGAAGGTTAACACAAACTGAAGGATGATGTTTAGGGAAAACGTAAGGATGATAAATGGCTACCAGGGATATATATACGCAGTAGTAAATTGTCCTTCAGGGAAGTAATGCAAAAAGTACTGTGCCCTTAAGGTGTTCTCTCCGAGAGAGGGTTGTGGATCAAAGGAGAGGAAGGGAGGAACCCCGACGACAGGCCTCCTCAGAGAGGTCGCGCTGTGTGTGCAAGTATGGGGACAGAAAGAGGGAGTTGTATGAAATCGTTACTCTCCCGCGGCGAGGCGGCTTCTCTCCAGCCAGCAGGGCTCGGCAGCAGGTCCGCAGGGAGGCCGGATTCCCGGGAACAGGGGCGACCTCCCAGCAGCAGGCGAACAGGCAGGCGGGCCGGGCGGGCTCCAGTCCCGGCAGAGCGGCAGGTGGGCCGGGCCAGCAGCTACGGCAGGTTCTCGAAACCCGTGGTTTGGGGGGCCAGCCCCTCGTGGCTCTGCAGCAAAGGCTGGTGCAGCAGTTTGGTTTCCCCGGCAACCAGCAGGAAACGGGAGGAAGGGGGGAAATCGGGATGCGGCCCCGGGCCGACGGCTGCGGGAAGGACTCGGTGCTCTAGGGGTCGGAATCCCGGCACGCTCACCCTTGGGGCTCAGGCTCGATTCCCGGGGCAGGCAGGCAGGCCCAGCAGGGTCCCTGCGCCAGGCTCCACAGAAGGGGGGTTTCCCATGCAGGAATGTCCGGGCAGGCCTCGGTCCCACCTGCTGAATTTGCTGCTTTTTTATACTCCAGTGACCCCCCTGTCCAGCCACTGTCCAGAGCCAACTTGCCTCCATGAGCTCTTAGGGCAGTAACTAGTAGGGGCAACGCATAACTTGTTGCCCATCCTTCCTGCCTTGTATCATACCTGTTGTTTTGCTTCCATTTGTCCTTGAGCAGCAGGCGTGTTTTTGGTCCGATAGCTGGGTATAATCAGCAGAAGGCCTTTGCTGATTTAAAAGGCATTTTGTTTAGACTTAGGTGGGGAAGAAGAAGAACCGTTTCCCACATGGTGAGATGAGAAAAAGGGCCTCTCTGTAAGAAAGAGCTTTTGACTGAAGAAGTGCTTTTGTTTCTAAAAAGAAAAAATTACCTTCTGCCTATGCATAGCTGAGTAATTTTTGTATGAATCACTCTCTTTTGTTACACCTTTTACATTATAGTTGAACTTTAGTTTCACCAATCTTTGCTAGCTTCGTGTGGTTTTCAAATTTGAATAGCAAGGAATAGTCTGAAATGGTCAAATAGGCTCTTGCAAACAATATATAGTTGGATTCTAAGATCCATTATGCAATTTTAAGTATTTTTTAAGTATTTATTGTACTGAAAATTTCACATTCAGTATGACAGAAAATAACTCTCTCTTTTTATTTCAGTTTACTTTTATAATTTTGGATGGAAGGATTATGGAGTGGCATCTCTCACTACTATACTTGATATGGTCAAGGTCATGGCTTTTGCCTTGCAGGAAGGGAGGGTAGCTGTTCATTGCCACGCAGGACTGGGGCGCACAGGTACTGCAAGATCAACAGAATTGTTTATTTATAAATGAAAAATAAGTTTCTGGTCATAAATTATTAATAACCTGCTTAGAATCTGTATTATTGCAAGAGCTATAAACAGTTTAAAACACTTTAAAAAAAGTGTAAATCCTCTGAATGGCAGGAGGAGATCAGTTTTAGTATATTTAAAACAGTAACCTGTAATGTTGGAAAATTTTTGAAACTGCATAATCCCGCTACATTCACATGGGAAGACTTATTTTTGATGGGATAATGTCACCTCATTCACTTTCATTTTCTGGTGTTTATTACATGCTTGCAAACCTGTCACTTACTGTAAGATCAGGTAAATTTGGTAGAGCAGCTAAAATTTAATTTACTTGTGTCCCTTTCAAGAGCTTTTTAATGTGGCCTTTCAGTGGAAGGCACCATTGCTCCTGTGATGGAATTCCTCGAGATGCTGCAGTGAGAAACTAGCTCTCACTGAAAATGTAGTGAGAAAGTGTTTACTATCTTGTGGTCCCAAAAATGCAATTCTACTTAAGTAACAGCATCACATAATAGAGGGTATAAAGTCTATAGAAATTTGTATCCTGTAGTTCCACAGAGTATTTCTTTTCACAGAATCACAGAATGTTTGACGTTGGAAGGGACCTCCAAAGGTCATTGAGTCCAACCCCCCTGCCAGAGCAGGACCAAAACTAGGGCAGATCACTCAGAAAGGCATCCAAACAGGTCTTGAAAGTCTCCAGAGAAGGAGACTCCACAGCCTCTCTGGGCAGCCTGTCACAGGGCTCTGTCACCCTCACAGTAAAGACGTTCTCCCTCATGTTGAGGTGGAACTTGCTGTGCTCAAGTTTGAATCCATTGCTCCATGTCCTATCACAGGGCACAGGTGACAAGAGGTTGTCCCTGCCTTCTTGATGCCCTTGTGTATTTATAGACATTAATTAGATCCCTCCTCAGTCTTCTCTCCAGACTCAACACCCCCAGGTCTCTCAGCCTTTCCTCATCAGGCAGGTGTTCTAGTCCCTTCATCATTCTCGTAACCTCCGTTGGACTCTATCAAGTCAATCCCTGTCCTTCTTGAACTGGGGAGCCCAGAACTGAACACAGTACTCCACGTGAAGTCTCACCAGGGCCCAGTAGAGGGGGAGGGGAACCTCCTTAGATTTTAGCTTTATGTTCTTCAACTAATACTTGGGTTTATATTTTCCAGGTGTTCTAATAGCTTGCTATTTAGTTTTCGCAACAAGAATGAGTGCTGACCAAGCAATTCTTTATGTCAGAGCAAAAAGGCCTAATTCCATTCAGACTAGAGGGCAGTTGTTATGCGTCAGAGAATTCACTCAGTTTTTGGTTCCCCTGAGAAATGTATTTGCTTGCTGTGAGCCCAGGTCACACACAGTGACACTGTCCCAGTACCTGACCCGTCAGAGACATCTGCTCCATGGCTATGAGAGCAGGCATCTCAAACATGTGCCAAAACTTGTTCATCTAGTCTGCAAATTGTTGTTGGACTTGGCTGAAAACAGACAAGTGGTCGAGGCAGAATTGTTGGACATACCAGATCTCACTGCAGAAATCGAGAAGACTGTTTCTCAGCTGATGTCCACCCAGCTGGACAGAGAGCTCGCGAGGCAGGACAGTGACACCTCAGACTCCTCCCACACCCACTCGTCCACCTTTGAGACCCAGGATTCTCTTTTCTCTCTGGGTCATGAATGTGATCCTGTTTGGAAGAGAAGGAATGCTGAATCTCTGCAGCCTTTCACTCATCATAAAAGGCGTCTAAGCTATAGTGATTCAGATTTAAGGAGAACTGAGTTTCTCTTAGAACAAGGAGAAACTGCCTGGACGGTACCTGCTCAGATATTACTGTGCAGCAAACTGAAGGAGAACAGCAGTGAGGAATGTTCCACAGAGAAACAAAAGCCACAGTTGGATCTAAACAAGGAAGCATTAGTGCGTAACACGTGCATGTTCTGGAGTCAAGGGAGATTTAATTTGGATGGACAAAAAGACGAATCCTCATTTTATCACAGAAGGAACTCTACCAAAGAAGTACAACGCAGCAGAACCTTTGCTTCGGGTCTAGCATCCATCCACAATACCAAGGATCCTGGAATGCCAAGGCATCATTTTCCCAATGAGAGTGCTCATATAAAAGACCACACAACCAATATGTATAGCAGAAGAAGCTATGTCTCCGAAGCCTCTGATACTTCTTCTTCTTCTTCTTCTTCTAAAGTGAACTTTTCCATTGGATACGAAAGCCGAAGTGGCAGAGACGTGTCAGAGGCAATTCCACACATTGTTCTGCAGTCAGAATTAAGTTTGGAAGCCCGAAGAGTTTTGGCAGCAAAAGCACTTGCAGATATAAATGAATTTCTGGGAGAGGATGAAGTGAAGCAGAAGGTAGAAATGTGGCAGGTAATTTTAAACTTGATGTTATGGGCTCTGCATATTCACCTAGGTTAATTCCTAGAATGACAAAAATGCCACCACGGGCTTTGAAATGGCACAATGGGACACCAGTTTATACCAGTTCAGTAAATGGTTGTATTTGTCAGTTAGGGCCCAGTCCTTTCACATTTGCACCTGCAAATGTTGGCCTCTAGCAGGAGGTTAAAACAATGTTTCTAGTAATATTTATTCATTTTACTAATTAACCAAAACTGATGCAATTATCTGTGGTTGTAACATGGCTGCTGGTGACAGAAAAGTACTACAGGTTCTTTGTTTGAGCTGTTAATCAGTGCTTTTTCAGAACTAATCAGGGGGTTCTGTGTGTAAAAGACTTGAGTAGAAATGTACCTGCTTATCCTCGAAATCCAACTCTCCTGACAACACTTGCTTTGACATTGGAATCCAAAGCTGGTTCATGTATTGTAGGAAATAATTGGGAGGTTGTGATTTGCACTGTTGGTGTCATCCTTCTGGTTTAAAAAATCACTTGTATTAATGCTGATTAATGATGATGCTTTGGAAAGAACTAGAAATACATAGTTTTTGGTAACTCTTTGTCTTTATTATTTTAAAATGTATTATTTTTTGTTGGAACATTAGCAGCTGAGCACTTCTGCAATCAGAGAATGTTGGCAAAAGTAAACAGATGATGCATTTTCAGCTTTGTTTTGTTTTGTTTTTGAAGAAAGAACTGAATTCTCGAGATGGAGCTTGGGATAAAATCTGTACCGAGAGAGATCCTTTCATCCTCTGCAGCTTGATGTGGTCCTGGATAGAGCAGCTGAAAGAACCTATTCTATCAAAAGATGATATTGACATGCTGGCAAAAAATTGCACAGAATCACAGGATGCACTTTACTTACTAAGAAAGGTAGATATCGTATCTGTCAATTCATTCTTTCACTGCCAAGTACTTTGTATTAATGTGTGTTAAACTATTCTTTTATGGCTTTTAGGCAAGGAGATTTGACTTCTAAAAGGCAACTCTTCAATCTCTTTAAAAATCAGAATGAGGATTGTTTTGGAATTGAATAGCATGAGCTGTAATCAATACTATGATGATTAATATTATAAGAAAAACCAAACAGATACTGTATTTGAATACTATTCAGTAGAAGTTCAACTTCAGCATATTTCCCTGAGAATTCTGCAGTTTGAGATCCAGAGGCAAAGATGAGAAACCTTTTCTTTGTGACTTGATGTCTGGCTTTTGTTAATGCCATGTCTGGCAGCTGTGCCTAACCATTGTCATACTTGCCATGCCAACATCAGAACCCGCCAGCTTTGGAAGAGCTGCATCAAGGAATAGGAAGAATTTGCCAATTCATAGAATTTTCATGGAATCATAGAATTGTTAAGGTTGGAAGAGACCTTAATGATCAACTAGTTTCAACCCCCCTGCTATGAGCAGGGCCCCTTACCACCAGACCAGGCTGCACAAGCGTTATCCAACCTGTCCTTAAAAACCTCCAGGGATGGGGCATCAACAACCTCCCTGGGCAACCTATTCCAGTACCTCACCACCCTTATAGTGAAGAATCTCTTACTAATATCTAACCTAAATCGCCCCTCTTTCAGTTTAAAACTATCACCCCTTGTCCTATCACTGCCCCCTCTGGTGAAAAGCCCCTCCCCAGTTTTCCTGGAGCCCCTTTGGGCAACAGAAGGTGCTCTAAGGACTCCCCGGAGCCTTCTCTTCTCCAGGCTGAACACCTCAACTGCCTCAGCCTGTCTTCATAGCAGAGGATTCAAAGAATCAGAAGCCATGCCAAGTTTTTCTATGTAAGCCAGGACTGTGACCATCCATATTCTGAAATCCACCTGATCCAAACTGTTTGATTTGGCTTTCCCCACAGGGCAAGATGTGACATAAATTTAAAATATATGTATTATCTATTCTTGATCTTTGGGAATTCCTTGTTTCTGAAGTATTTATGAAGAAAACAAGGGCCCCTTTTCACAGCCGGCAGATGTGCAAGCATGCAACGTCCAGTCCATAGGTGGTCAGAACTTTATGTGCAGTCACCATCTTCATGTCATGACGTTCAGAATTCCCAAGTACATCTAACCCATCATGTCTCTTCCTGAAGCAGTCTTCCACTCTAGCAGCATTTAAAATTTCTAGTTGTATTAAATAATATTGCTTGACACTGGTTGTAAGTGAAGGGGAAAGGAATAATAATTACAGGTTTAAAATGTAAAAAATTTAATTTTATGCCATGATATTTGAAAATCACAGACTATTTGAGCTGGCAGGGACTTCTGTGTGTCTCCTGGTCCAACAACCTTGCTCAAACCAGAGTCAACTGGAGCAGGCTGCTTGCATGACAGATGCTGCAGTCCCTGCATCATCTTTGTGGCCCCTCACTGGACTTGGTCTAGTATGTTGATGTCCTTCTTGTATTAAGGAACTCAGAGCTGCACCCAGCCCTCCAGATGTGTCACCTCCATTGACCTGCTGGCAAGTCTGTTTCAGATACAGCCCAGAATGCTGGCTCCTGTCCCACTTTGTGTGTGCTGGGACACTCAGGCTCCTGTCCGCTTATCTGCTCTCCAGCCACTCAGTCCCTCAGTGCAGTGGTGCCTACAGAACTTCTCCTCCCAGAAACTCCTCAAGTTTTAATGCAATAGTCACCTGCCAAATGCAAAGTGACCTGCCAGCATGGAGATCTGTCTCCCTGGGAAAAGGGATGGGAATTAGCAGCCACAGTGATACTGTTTGTCCCTTTGTGTATCCTTGTCATCACTGCCCAGGGGACTTTCTGTGCGCTTCCTTTAATGGGGAAGGAGACTTGGCAGGTCAGAAGGGGCTGCAGATCATCCTATGTTAATTGGGGAATTAACCCTAAATGTGCATAGCATTTTGGACTGAAAAGATCAAATCTCACTTCTATCCCAATTCACAAGTGCTACTTTTCGTGGAAGGGACCTGGAAAAATAGGTCTCCAAGATGCACGCTGGACCTCCTAGAAATTTCCAGAGCAGTTTGTGATACACTATAAAAATTTCTCCCATCCTGAGTGAAATAATTGTGTAAAGACTCATGAAAATTCCCTCCCTGAAGGTTTCAATACAGGAAGGCACAGTCAACAGCAATGAACAAAAACTAAAGGGTAAGTGTTTTTCATTAAAATACTATTCTAATGAGCTGCTGTTCCTTCTACTCACCAGGAGCAGTGTCAGACTATCCTTTGTATTTTACACTGTGTGGTGAACTTGCAGATGCTTCCAGCTGATGTGGAGGAGGCCTTACTTGCTCGTGCTATTAAAGCTTTCACTAAGGCAAGTAACCATTTGTCCACGACATTTAATTGATTTGTTTCAAATCATGAAGGGTGAATCAATAGAGCAGGTGGCTGTGAGGAAAGTTAAGGAATTCCTTCACACTTAGTGTGCTCAGGCTTATCTGTTTGCACTGTGTAATAATCAGCCTACATAAAGGGAAGGAAATATTCTCATAAAAATTAAATTCTGTCGCTACAGCCTTAATCTTTTCCTCTCATTTTCCTGGTTTTGTATCACTGCCCATTCATGGACTTCAAATTAGAGAAAAGATGATTTTGAAGTAGTCACTGGGAGTAGCTTACCAAAGGCTTTGGTACATTCTGTGCTACTTGGAGTCTTCCCTTCAGATTGAGTCATTTTCTGAAATTACATCATTACAATTCAGTTATTTCGGGCCCTTCATACAGGATGTGTATAAACATCTTTTGCTTTTGGAATCATGGAATAGCAGGGACAGGTTAAGCTTGCCAGGGCTTGGCTCAGAGCCGCTTTCTTCTCAGATTCAACAGGTGACATAATCTGAGCAGAATGTTCATCACGCTCTTCTCAATCTATGGACGTGTCACCTGTGAAAACTATGATGACATTCCTCCTTCCAGTTTGTTTTCATGTCTAGGCAGCCTAAAATTGAAAATAGCGTTAAGTACTCCATTACTCCATTGATAAATCCTAAACCTGCTGTTTTAAAAATGTTAGTCATGTACTTTGCAGTTTGCTGCATTACATCTGTTTAACAACTGAACTGAAATGTCTCTCTTTATTAGACAAGCTTTGGTTCTGACAATGGACCCTATGTTTACAATACCTTGAAAAAAGTATTTAAACAAACACTGGAAGACAAAAGAAAAAGGCTTAAGGAAGGAACAGAGAATCCCTCTTGATTCCTGCACGACTATGCCGAAGATTTAGATGGACCTACACAATTTTTGCGTTTTCCAGCTACTGTATTTTTTGCTCTCTGGCATGATTTGCCTCACTTCAAGTAACAGCAGTTATTAATAAAGCATTTTATTTCTTTAGTTGCAGTTTTAGTGATGATTGTTCCCTCTACATAGTTGTAAAGAGCAGTTCCTGTGTGACCCTACTGGAGCATTTGGTTTCAGGTACCTGCTTTTATGTTGTGAACTGTTCTCTTGTTTTCCAAGGTATTGATTAGCTTAGAAGCCTCTGTCACTGTCCAGCAGCACCATCTTTGTTACATGATTGCCATAAGTTCAATGCTGTGGTACACAAAGGTTTCATGGATTGGGATAATATTTATGTGTTACGTATGTTTACATTTATGTTATTTGACTTTACATTACAGAAAATAAATATTGACTGAACTTACTAAACTCCTTTTCCTTTTAGCAATGTTTAAAATAAGACTAAGAGGAATAATGAACATCTTGAGGCCTGCTGTTGACAGCAGTTTGGGGTTTTTTTTTGCTTTAGTTCTCTTAAATGGTAGTCACCAATGGGTTCCTAAAAGGTGTTGCAGTAGAAAAATACATAAAGTACATTCAGTTATCATGGTCTTAATTTAGACTGTTTTGGATAAAAAGGCTTTTGTGTTTTTACCAGAAAATTGATTGTGGTATTTGTATCAACTTATTGATACAAATGGACAAACCAACTAGGAGAGGAGCATTGGTGGATCTTGTGCTCACCAACAAGGAGGGTCTGGTTGAAGTGGTGATGGTCAATGGCAGCCTTGGCTGCAGTGATCATGAGATGGTGGAGTTCAGGATCCTGTGTGGGAGGAACAGAATACCTAGCAGGACCATAGCCCTGGACTTTTGCAAGGCCAATCAATTATTGAGAGAAGTCCCATGGGACAGGGTACTAGGTGGTAAAGAGCTCAAGATTGTTGGCCAGCGTTCAAGGACCACTTCTCCCAAGCTCAGGATCAGAGCATCCCAATGGGTAGGAAATCAAGTGAGGGAGCCAGGAGACCCATATGGTTAAACAAGGAACTGCTGGGCAAACTCGAGTGGAAAAAAGAGAATATGGATCATGGAAGGAGGGGCTGGCCACTTGGGAGGAATATAGGACTGTTGTCAGAGGTTGTAGGGAGGCCATAAGGAAAGCTAAGGCCTCCTTGGAACTAAACCTTGCTAGGGAGGTCAAAGACAACAGAAAGGGCTTCTTCAAATACATTGCAGATAAAAATAACACTAGGGACAATATAGGCCCGCTGCTGAATGAGGTGGGTGCCCTGGAGACAGAGGATATAAAGAAAGTGGAGGTACTAAATGCCTTCTTTGCCTCTGTCTTTACTGTTGCAGACTCTTCCAAGGAGCCCCAGATCCATAAAGCCTCAGAAGAAGTCAGAATGAAGGAGGAGTTTGCTTTGGTAGATGAGGATTGGTTTAGGGATCAGTTAAGCAATCTAGACATCCATAAATCAATGAGTCCCAATGGAATGCACCTGAGGGTGCTGAGGAAGCTGGTGGAGGTCATTGCTGGGCCACTCTCCATCATCTTTGGTCAGTCATGGGCAACAGGAGAGCTGCCTGAGGACTGGAGGATAGCAAATGTCACACCAGTCTACAAAAAGGGCAAGAAGGAGGGCCTGGGTAACTATAGACTGGTCAGCATCATCTCCATTCCTGGCAAGGCGATGGAATAACTTGTTCTTGGCACTCTCTAGGCATATCAAGGATGAGGGGGTCATTAAGACCTGTCAACATGGTTTTACCAAGGCAAAGTTATGTTTGACCAACGTTATAGCCTTCTATGAGGAGGTAACTAGGTGGATAGATGATGGTAGGGTGGTAGATGTGGTTTATCTTGATTTTAGTAAAGCATTTGACACTGTCTTGCACAGCATCCGCATAGATAAACTGAGGAAGTGTGCTCTTGATGGTCAGGTAGTGAGGTGGATCATGAACTAGTTGAAAGGAAGAAGTCAGAGAGTTGTGGTTAGTGGGACAAAATCTAGTTGGAGGTTGGTGACCAGTGGAGTCCCTCAGGGACTGGTACTGGGACCGATACTGTTCAATATTTTCATCAACGACCTGGAGGAGGGAACAGAGTGTGGTCTCAGCAAGTTTGCTGATGACACTAAACTGGGAGAAGTGGCTGACACACCAGAAGGTTGTGCTGCCATTCATCAAGACCTGGACAGACTGTAGAGTTGGGTGAGGAGAAACTTGATGAAACTCAACAAGGGCAAGTGTAGAGTCTTGCATCTGGGGAAGAACAACCCCATGTACTGGTAAAGGTTGGGGGCTGACCTGCTGGAGAGCAGTGTAGGAGAAAGGGACCTGGTGGACAGCAGGATGACCATGAGCCAGCAATGTGCCCTTGTAACCAAGAAAGCCAATGGCATCCTGGGGTGAATTAGAAAGGGTGTGGTTAGTAGGTCAAAAGATGTTCTCCTCCCCCTCTACTCTGCCTTGGTGAGGCCACATCTGGAATATTGTGTCCAGTTCTGGGCCCCTCAGTTCAAGAAGGACAGGGAACTGCTGGAAAGAGTCCAGGGCAGAGCCACAGATATGATTAAGGGAGTGGAACATCTCCCTTATGAGGAAAGGCTGAGGGAGCTGGGTCTCTTTAGCTTGGAGAAGAGGAGACTGAAGGGCGACCTCATCAATGTTTACAAATATGTTAAGGGCGAGTGTCAGGAGGACAGAGCCAAGCTTTTTTCAGTGATGTCTAGTGATAGGACTAGGGGCAAACTGGAACATAGGAGGTTTCACGTAAACATCAGAAAAAAATTCTTTACTATGAGAGTGACAGAGCCCTGGGACAGGCTGCCCAGAGAGGTTGTGGAGTCTCCTTTGCTGGAGACATTCAAAACCTGCTTGGACGCGTTCCTGTGTGATGTGCTCTGGGTGATCCTGCTCTGTCATGGGGGTTGGACTGGATGATCTTCCAACCCCTTCCAACTCCTAAGATTCTGTGATTCTGTGAAGTGCTTTGAACAAGAGAAAAATTTAACCTTATTAGCTAAACTTTTATAAAGCTTATTTGAAGTGAGAAAGCAATTGTCAAACGTTAATAAGGATGTCATTCTGTCTGTAGTTATGTTTAGCAAAACCTTGCCAGGTAAGTGCAACACAAGAATACTAAGAAATAATCAATGAACATTTTCCTATCTGCAATGCAGGCTTTTTTATTGAGTAAGACAGAAACACCTGGGCTGTCATCACAACTGCAGGCTTTTGTTACAGCCTTAGGATTTGGACTGGAATGCCAGTTTGCAGGATTAACAGTTTATCCTGTTTGAGACATTTAAGCAGATAAAAAAGAATCTGTCCTTTTCCCAAATATGTTTCTTTAGTACTGTCAATGATTACTACTTGGAGTTAGAAACAGACCAGTTTAAAATATATTTAAACTGTATGTGCTTCAACTGTGAGATGATTATGTATCAAAGTCAGATCCAAACAAGTACTTTGGCAGAATCATCCCACAGTGAGCACACTTGACAGTAAAATATTGCACATGAATCACAGACACAAAAGCAGCTTTGTAAAGAGGCAAGACAACTGAAACAGCAGTTTGAACAGCCGTGGCCAGCACACCTTGGCAGTCACACCTGGGAATACTAAGATGCATTTGCAGGTGTCTTGGTCTCCCAAGAATTTATTTCAGTTTATTACAGCCACCAGCTCCAAACAGCTAGCATCAATTCCTAGTGTTGCACACTTGGGCTGTAGAAACCCACCCTGTATTGTTCACATCAGTGTCATTAATGAGGACTTTCACATAGCATGAGATCCAGCTAGAATAGTCTTTCTGAAGTTCATGTCAGGTGTTGACATTTGAAAAACTACCTACATGGAACTGGGGGCTGTATAACTGGGTGCTTTTTGTTTTTGTAAAGTTTTTGGTTTACTGGCACATGTGGTTGCAATTTTGGCCAAACTGGTTGGCACATCTGATTTCTCCCATCATGGGAGAAACCAAAATGAATATTGAAGCAAATATTCAAACTTACAAACTTCACCATAATGCATTTGTGACCCAGATGAAGTAAATGCTTAAATAGCAAATACTCCTTTTCCCTGTGGCTTCACTTGCAGTAAACTACAGCAAACTGTCGTGGTTTGGGCTAAACTGACAACAAAGAAACAGTTCCATGGCTGCTCACTTACCCCACACACACACACACTGTGCGACAGGGAGGACAAAGCCAACTAGAAGCTTGTGGGACAAGACAAGGACAAGGAGGGTTCACTCACCATTTATGGTCACAGGCAAAACAGACTCAACTTGGGGAAAAAAATGTCAATTTAATTTACCAGTAAGCAGATGCAGACAGAACATAGACACCCCCAGAGCAGGGCTCACATACGTTACCCCTCCCCTCCCTTCTTCCCGGGCCCAAATCCCTTTGTTCCTGGTTTCTCTCCCTCCTTCCCCCCAGCGGCACAGGGGGATGGGGTTTAGAGTCACTTCACAGGCTGGTGGTTCCTGCCCCTCCATCCTCCTCAGGAAGAAGGATTCCTTACAGTCCTCCCTTCATGGGATCCCTCCCATGGCAGAGAGTCCTCCACCAGCCTCTCCAACGTGAGTCTCTGCCATGAGGTGCAGTCCCTCAGGAGCTTCTCCAGCACGGGCTGCCCACAGTCACTCCAGGAACAGTCACCAGGTGGGAGGTCCTCCATGGCTGCAGATCCAAGTCCTTGGGCTGCAGGTCCACATTTGCTCCTCCTGGTGCCTTCAGGGGATGCTCTGCCACATTCCTCCATGAGTGCAGGGACACAGCTGCCATCTCCCCATGGGCTGCATGGGAACTTCTGCTCAGGCACCTTCTTCCCCTTCTTGCTCACCAGCTGCAGGATCTCTACTTCGGCACTGCTCTCCCCTCTCCAGCTCTCTTCCTAGGCTCTCTTCCCAGGTCTTTAATCTTTCATATGTTAATCACAGAGGTGCATCTATTGTCTCTCTC